AAAAGAAGTTGATAATTCGCGTATAAGGTCCTTCTATGCATATCTCTACTCAGCCTGCTACCTCGTTTGCTCACTAGAACTTCCAGAAGGGGTAACCGATTCCCCTTGTCTAACTCTATAGTAAATTTGGTTATTCTATCTCATCTATTCATTAGTTCAAGTAGTTTAGACATTAAACTAACCTTCAGTTGAGTCAGTTAGTTGTTGTCTGGATTAGGGGTTAAATACTGCTACATATAGGAATCTCGAAATATCAACATGAAGTCAACCGAGTAGATGGACGATTCGCCGGTGACGTTTTGTTTGCACAAATGTTAAAGTCATCACAACAAAGTGATTCTCATTCGGCTTCGATGCGGCCACTTCAGGAGCGCCTCTTATTCGCTTCGTTAAGCCAAACTAGAACTCCACCGAGATCAATCTCTTAGAAGAGTCTTGGTAACCCATCGTTCTTTCACGTTCTGAAAGTTGTCTTGTCAACATGACTCAATTTTGAACAGAAGATAAAGAAGTGCAGACGTCATACACGAGGCAAAAGGTTGGCGAGATGATTGAGCTAAAGATAGCTATCGAAAAAGGCTGACAAATGAGAGTACCAGTCTGAAGAAGCATATTGAAATATCCAAGCTAATAGAGCAGACTCATTTCGCAAGTGCCGATAAACTCACGTTGTCTTACAGACTTAGATTTTGTGTGAAAGTGTGTGATGAATAGGCTTAAGTAGGCCGAAAAAGACTTCTCTCCAGTCCATTTAAGATGTAAAAATCGTCGGCAGGAAAAATAATAACAATTTGTACTGTCTATTTTCCCCTATGAAGAGACTAGATATCTCTAGCGTCCTCTTAGCCAGCACTGTCAGCTCAACGAAATCACGCTTGGTTAATTTAACCTGCGGAGACTGCTGAATCGGATCATTTTGCCACACGTAACAACTGGATTAGGTGCGTTCTACTAAGTCCCCCTGACAACAAGACCAAGTTGCGACAACGAGGTCAACCCACTTCTACAAACTTAGGAGGTTTAAGTAGAAGATATTAAATCCATGATAATAAAGAGCCTACGCCTTGCAGATATTAATAATGGTGATTCTTGATACTACTCGTAGATATGATATAAAAGCAGTATTCACACTATTTTGTTTAAGGTGATGAAAGAATTGTCTTAAAATAATGTAAGTAGGCCTCATGTTTACATTGAATTTCACATAGATTTTATTTTAAAAGGGTTTGAGTCACGCTAGGGGTGCTGATGAGACCAAGAAAATAATGCAACTACAATCTCATGCAGGCGGAATAAAAATATCTTTAGGGAGGCAGGGCTATGTGAATTTCAGTCGAAGTATAATGCCTACTCACGTGTTTGTGGGACAATTCAACTTCCGGTCCTTCATCCCCTTAAACGAAATAGGGTGAAGAAATAAAAGTTTTAACTACGAACAAATACTCACTAGTATTAATTGGCAATTATTTTAAATATTAGCAAATATTAGCTGAACTTAAAAAAAGCCTGAAATGGTTTGTGGGACAGTATTACAGATAGCCTGGTGTGGATATGGAGACTATTACAGCAAGCGGAAATTTACAGATTCTATAGCGATGGACAAAACAGCCAAAACCCTAAAGGGAAGGAATGGATGAGGAAATTAAGCGTTAACTACTTGTGGAGAGAGGGAGAGACAGCAAGAAGTCCCGCAGAGCAAGAATAAAATGCTTGATTAACCTTAAATATGGTTTTCACTTTCCCAATCCGCACGACCCACGAGCACTGCATGCACACAACAAACGTGAAATGGAACGGAATCGTATTCTGCAACATTGTAGGATAAAAAATACAACTGATTTAGAGGAGGATGTAACTGTCCAGTAACAACTGCATCCGCATTACGCTTCATTCGCACCCACTTTACGTGACATTCGCAGACACTTCACTTTTCAGCAAGTGCGTAAGAAAAGCATAGGATGTCAAACCAAATCATGTTATGTGTCATCAAGTGGACGAAATTAGACTATGAGAAGTAGGCCAAATCATACAATAAATGTTAAGGATCAAGTCTTCTATGGGTGGTTTCATAGAATGCAAAACAAGCGCAACAACGAATGCAAAATATGGAGAGTCTAAATGAATAGTTTATGTGTCCTCTGGAGATAAGGGACGACAAATAGAATAGATTAGAAAGCCTGGTCCAGGGGCATGGGAACTAAGGTTATAAGGCATACAGACTCCACTATCAGCCGACGGTAAACTGATAAGGTGACGGGAGCAATTTGTATCGTAAAACTACAATGGGGCTCAACTAAAAAACTTGAGAGGAGTGTGACGTGACACTTGGGCAACAAACTATGCAGAAAATGGATGGGGTAACTTTAATTTAGTTTAGAGGCGAGTGGAAAGAATTCGTAATTTGGTCTCACTGGAATCCGAAAGCAGTTTGCCTTGGAGCTGAGGTCGTAGATTTGTGCGAATAGGTCGTTGGCACACCAGGACACAATGTTTTACGATAATTCACCAAAGCACAATAACACGGAATATAACCAGTGGCAATTAAACTTCACATAATCCAAGATTGTAGCCGGCCACCTTTCTTGTCTTTATGATTGGTAAATTATCATAAAGAACAATGTCTTGCTCTGACGATGTCCATCATATGATGGACGAAAGCTCTACAAGGATCCATCGGAAGCTGGACGATGAGCCGATGACTTATTGGCAAAAATCTACAGTCAAAGCTCTAAGGTAAACCCCCTAGGAATTCCGATGAGACCAACTTACGAATCTCTTCCAGTCACCACTTTAAACGAAATTAAAGTTATTCCAACATCACTCTATCAAGGGATTCTTCGAAAACCAGTTATTCCACAAATACAAACAATTATTGTACGTCTATGAGTAAATTTTTGGAACTCATATATATGCAGAAAATCAACAAAATAAGATTATTTATTTTGGCTTAACTTAACCGGTCTCGAGCAGCGTCCCTCTAATTACTAATTCAGACGATCAATCCATAACTTTAAGTCGATTTCTGTCTAGTAGTTATAATTAGTTATCAAAT